GACAAAGCCACATGTGCACAACCACTATTCACCTTCTCCTTCTCTCCTCCCTTCCTTTCCTACCTTCGGCCTTGCATGCTCTTTGTGCAAGTTTTTGTTCAAAACTTCATCTCCTCCAAACTCCATCAAAACACCACCAAAATCAATGTTCCACTACATCAAACTTTAAGTAAATGACATTCTAAACACAACCATGGTACTTTCAAGGCATGAAACTCGCTAGATTGGAAGAAAAAGGTGACCCATGTTTGCAGTTTTGGTGAAGAATCTCAGTGTTCTTGAAGTTCTTTGATCCTCCATTGCTTGGGTATTGTGTGGAGGAGTCCAAGGCCTTGGCTGTGGGTAAGTTTCAACACATTTCATTGGATGGATTCTTGGATTTAATTCATGAACCCTAGAGCATGTGTTGTGTGATTAATGTGGTTAGGGACTTCAAATTGAAAATGTGTATTAGATAAAAGTGTCTTAGAATAATGTTTTATGACGATTGATCTCATAAAATTTATTGGTGAAAACTTTAATAACTTAGGCAATTTTATGATTGGTATGCTTGACTTTGTGAAATGAAAATGTTGTGGGATTGTGTAATTGAGTTGTGGAGGTATGAGCTAATTATAGGATTGTATAATGTGTGAAAGTGTGAAATTGGATTGAATACCCCTAGGTATATGGACATGCACAATTCGGCCATCTAAGGGATGTGAGGGGAAACTGTTTTAAAATTTATGTAATTGATGTTGTGATGGTTGTAACTATGTTTAAAAAGGTTGTATATTGGTTTGATGCATGTGGATTGGAAGTGGAGCCATTAAATATGTCTAAGTGTTGATATTGGCCTAAAGGAGGATAATTGAGAAAAATGATGTTGAATGGTAATTGAATGAAATTAAGGAATTGGTTTGGTGTTGTGGTAAGCTTAGGAAGCTATTGGAACCTTGAGAAAAAATTAAAAACATGACTAGGTATTTTAGGCCAAAAGGCCGAACCTGTGTGTGTGTGTGTGTGAGGGGGGGGGGAAGTGTGGTGCTTTGTGGTACCTTGCATTGGAGTTACTTAGAGAGGGAGCTTCAACAAGGTAATCCTTTGGTACTGGGGTTAATCCCCGTTTGTGCTCCACCATGCCCTTGGGGGTAGTGGTTGGAGGTGGATGTTAATAATGTGTTATAACATGCTCATGCATAAGTATATAGGATGTATCTAGTCTCTGGCCAGTAGATAGTTTGCCTTCGGGCGTTACGGACTTCCACTAGATAGGTCTCTGTGAGGAAGTTTTTGTTAACCTGGGGTCATGGAGTTGTTATCCATTGAGGAGCACTCTAGGAATGTCTCGAGTGTATTGGTGGTGGGTGCCTTGGTTGATGTTCTGGGAACACTTCCTTGGATGAGAACCCGTAGGTTATATGCTGAGGCCAATAGATCGGATGTTGCGTGGTTTTGGCTTTGACCATTCTAGCTTCATCGTGTTTTTACTCTCTATGCATCCCTACTTCACTAAATCCCTTGTTTTATCCTGTTTTGGTTGTTATGGTGCATTATTGATTTACATCTGATAGAGCCATTGGACGAAGTAATCTCCAGAGCCTATGGGTTATTGAGATATATTCGTATATCTCACCCCGTGTTTGAGGCATTATTTTAGGTAGTTGCAGTGGGGCTAGAGCCGTGGGCAAGAGGCCCATAGGATGAGCACTTGGAGATTGAAGGACCTTTTTGCATTTTGAGGCCATTTTGGCATAGGCTAGACTTAGGGCATGAATATTGTATATGGATTTAGGATTATGCATATGGTCATATTTGTTCATGCCATATTTTGCCTAAGTCTAGTTGTATATTTGTCATGTTGTATTTTGAGGTTTTATTATGTTGTACTTAGAGAAGCAATTTGTATTCATGCTTATTATTTTAGAGGAGTATAATATTATGATTATGGACCTTGTGTAATATTTAAAACATGTATGTGATGAAATGACAATAGGCCTATTTTAAGTGATGAATATGTATATAGAAAGAATGCATACAAATGGAATAATGTGATTGAAATGATTTAAGTTTGACAAAGTAAGCAAGGATTTGTAAATTGAGGTAATTGATATAAATTGTTGTGGGTTGTAAGAGCACCAAGACATTGTTGGTCCTTGAGTGCCACCCTTGTCTATTAGGTACCGTTGAGGCATAATAACACACTTTTGATAAAGTGGGATAGGTTGAATAAACAACAGAGGTGCCGTCAAAATTTATATAAAATGACAGATTTTGGATTAACTTTGGGAGAGCATATCTCCCTCCACAGAGGTCCAATAGGAACGTGCCATACACCATTTTGAAGAATGAGATTTCATATATGTTGTGTCAAAATTTGGTAGCAATTGGAGTTATACGCAGACCTGTAGACGCAGAAGAGTGAGGACTGTCCAGATTGCCCTGCACTTGGGGGCTGTCGGGAGCAGGTTTTGGGAAATATATTTCTCCCTCAATTCTTGGTCAAATTAGGCCCATGATATGTCAAATTTAATCTTAATATTTGTAGTTTACTGTATAAAAATTTGAGAGCAATTGGTGGAGTAGTTTGTCCAGGATCGCAGAAATGGTATAGGATGTTTGGACCCTGTTTGAGGTTGGCTGGCAGCTTTGCTTGTCCAGCTTCAAACGTTAATAACCAGAGCAAACGAGAACTTTATGGAGCGTGTGATAGCTTGTTGGAAAGGTAATTAAATCTGGAATAACATACTAAAAGATGAGAGGTTCGTAGCATGTGGATTTCTCGCAATGTTTAAAATACTGAACCATGTTCAGATACGTAAAAACAGTAAAAGTGAGAATTATGCTAAGTGGGTTTGTGGGAATTCCTTAGTGACTTAAGATAAGCAATATACAATAGTTAGGCAATTATTTTAATTATTACACGTTTAGATTTCAGTTATGATCACAACTTTTCTCATTACATTTTATTATTGATTTTAAATGCTTACGTAATGAAAAGGAAAAAAGTTTACTCGCATTTTTAAATGAACTACTGTGATTGTAACTGAGCTTCATATCATAATCAATGTTAACAACACTTGTACGTAATGGGTTGTTACAGCAAGTGCAACATATAGCTCAACCTCCTCTAGGAAGACAAAAGGTAATGGAGTATTATATAATTTGTTTTCATGTTATTTTATTTCATATTATTATTATCTATATGTTATAACAATGATATCTTGTATTGACAAGTGGCTACTCGCAATGTTGCTTCTTTGGCACTTAATAAAGGCCAAACAACTTAAATGCAAAATGTGGAGAGAAACATTCTGACTAATGATGTAAACATTCATAGGGGCAATTTTGTGGAGAAATTTTGTAAACATTATAATTTAAGGAATACTGATTTAGTTCAGTTTTATATATTGATGTCAAGAGAAACAAAAAAAATGGTGAAATAATTTTAGTTTTCCTATTTTTGGGCAAGTGGGGAAACTTCATAGGTCTTTCGCTAAACTTTTGTTGTGAGAAGTAATATGATTAGGGGTGAAAGTGGGCTGAGTTGGGCCAAGCTTTGCCTCGAAAAGCCCAAGCCTATGTCAAAAAATTTCAATTTGGCCCGGCCCAAGCCTAGTAGGAGTCTAACTGTTAGTCTGACTTTGCCCATTTATAAAAAACAAATGGCTGGCCTAACCCGTTAGCCTGTTAATTTTTAACTTCCAAGCAGAACCATGAATCAACTTCACAAAATACTCAAATTCTGTTGCTAAATCAAAAATCACAATTTCAACGTCCATACAGAATCATGAATCACAACAAAACTCATCACAATCTTCATTTAAGTCACTTTTAAAAGCAAAATGCTCAAACTAAATAACATATATTTCATGAGATCCAACAAACAAATCCATACTATGTAAATAAAAATAACTACATGAATCTAACAAACACATCAAGATGCTTGTAGTAAGTATAACCTCTCCCAAAAATCTTTTAATATATTCATAGACACAATCTAACATGCTGAGACGTTGGTTCCTCCTACATAAGAAATAAAGACAGATTTATATTAAAATATAATCGAATATAATTAAGTTATAAATAATTGCAACTGGTTAAATTTATATCTTTTGTTTTTTCTTCAAGACATTCTTATTCTATTTTATTTTATTTAAAATACATAGTACAATATAGTCCGACTTGTAGGCCTATAGGTCAGACCTTGAGAAAGTGGGCCTACGGTCTATTTATTAAACATGTTTTTTTAAGGCCCAAGCCCGATCTATTTTACAAAATATATTAGATCAAATCTAGCATGACGTAGTCCGAGTTGTAAGCCTCTGTAGGCCGGTCCGACCCAATTTCACCCTAAGTATGATGACATATATGTTTATCTCATTTTGCTTATAAATTTTTTTGGGCTATTTTTTTTGCAATAATATGAAGTTTTCAAAAAATTTCAAGCCTATTATCTTCATATTCATTATCTTAAAGTCAATACAATATTCAAGTCCATGTTTGAAATGGCACGTTGAAATTGGAATATGTAATTGATTTGGCTTGATTGCATCATATTATAGTATTTATTTGTATGCTATAATATTTGTATGGTGATAATTAATTATGCCTTTAGAATCTATTTGAACTAGGACATTTTTTTTAATATAGATATATTTCATATTTTTTTTCTATTTCTATTTTTTTATTTAGTTTTTTTATCAATATTATAAATTTTCAATATATTTGATTTTTTTTTTCTTTTTCATCTCCAACCTTTTTCCTTCTTCTAAAAAGAATAAAATAGATATATTTAATAAATTTCTAATGATATTAAAAATAAATAAATAAATAAAAATAAGTGATTTAAAGATAAACCATTAAAACTTTTTTGAACTTTTTCCCAATCAAATATTAGTTTAACAGAGTCTTAACTTTCTTTGGGCCGGGTCAACCCGGCACCCAGCCCAACTATCCGTCCGGTTCCAAAATCTGTTGTGTTTGTAGTACGGTGCGGCACAGCACTGAACAGAGTTTCATTTTCCCAGTGGTTTTCTGGGCATCGACGCAGGGCAAAACACCGTTGCTATTTGCACGTCGAAGCTCTTTCTCTTTCTGGGTATTTTTTATTTTTCGTCTTTGAGTCAAAATTGGCTCTTTATTTTGCTAGGGAATAAAAAATACTGCAAATTTCGAAAGATGGCTGCAAGCTTTGCTTCCAGATGTTCTCGTGGTATGTTATTATTTTGTCCTTGCTTGTTGTGTTTCATTTTCACAACTCAAATTGTTCATTTTGATAAAAAAAAATAGAGATTTATGTGTCAAAAACCTGATAATGCGCTAATGCTTATTTTGTTACAGTTGAACTTTTAAGCTTATTTTGTTACAATTATGTTATGTCCTAGGAGCTTGAATATGGTCTCTGTTCTTAATTGATACTTGTATAACTGTTAGGTGCTTATTCCAGAAGACATTGGCCTGCTATATTTTTCTGACTTTTGCCACTTATCCATTACATTCATGTCTGACTGCACTGAAATTTCATGTACCAGTCAGTGTTTTTTTTTTTTTTTTTTTTTTTTGAATATTTTGTAAGTTGCCACTCATTAACTGGAAATTATATGTAGAATTCCTTTGGCATATTAAAAAAAAAAACCTAATTCCCATTAAACCCCGACTAGCAAGGGTGGGGTGAGGACAATTTTGTATAATGTCTCACCCTCGCATATGTGCAAAGGGACTGTTTCTCGGATTCGAATGAGTAACTTTTAGTCTCAAAGGAGTAACTTTACCACTACTCGAGGCTCGCCCTCATTTCCTTTGGCATATTATTTTTTGATGTTTCAGATGAGCTCTATGGTTATAGAGCTCCAAACCTTATAGGGGAATTCTGATTGTTAAATATGAATAACAATAATTAAAGGTTAAGCCTATGATGCAACCACTATTTGGTTGCTCTGGTACAGTTGCCAGTATATTAATTTTTTACTACTGAATTCAAACTGAATCTGAGGTAAAGCCTAGTTTCATGTAGTAACAAACCAAAAATACTTAGTCACAAAATTTTGAATTTGCATTGACTGAATTGTACTTAAGTCATCATATTGATTCATTGCTATGGTGATTAAGCTGTATCGAAATGTATCGTGTAGCAAAATTTTAAAAAAAATTTACTGAAGTGTACTAACTACATATCCAGATGTACCAAATGAGTTCTGGTACAGAATATGTAGTACGGGCATGGTAGCTATATAGAAGTTTTTGTGCATGATATGTAATGCAGTCTCCATTACTTTTGTCTTGTTAGATATATCTTTAACATTGGAGTTCCTTACCTATACAACTCATTGCTGGCTTCTCCAAGTCAGATTTTTTGTTTAATTTTCTTAAGGATTGGAATATGAATACTTCAAGATATGGCCTTAAGCTAAATTTCATCAAATTCTGGAAATACATTTAAGGATCGTTAACGCAAGTTGTTTTAGTTTAGCAGCCTGGAAAGCTCCTCACTTTGCTGTTGATATTACTATAAAGGAGAGTGAACTACCTTGACATTGTTAGATATTATGTGCTGTTGTGATCCTGCATTTCTGCTTCATTTTTCTTACCATCCCTTTTGAGAGCATGAAAAAATATATTGCCTAGGGTTATTCAGCATCAGAAGTACACAATGTATCCCATGTCCGCCAGCCCTGTTCTTTTTGAAGTATAGCTCTAGGATGATTGTATCCATTGTGTAATTTGAGCTAATAGCCAAAGCTGAGGGACCTCAAAAGTCAAGAGTCAAGGCCTACATTACATTTTAAAAAACTGTCTCCAGTTATCAAATAAAAGCTTCAAATACCTAAAACAAGTTTAAGAACCCCACAGAAATGAAGTTCATTTTATAACTGCACTCTCACATACCCCTTTACAAGATGAAGTAGCAAATTCTTGTAAAAAACCCTGATTTTTTACTTAACAATAATGATGATGTAACTCGTAACGCAAGCTCAACTTTTTCGTTATGCTTGGAGCTTTTATTTAAATATATAATTTTTCTGTATTGTTGGGTATGTTAGCACTTCAGATTCTTCATAGTATTATGGTATTGCCATAATCACAAATTCAAGGTATATTTTTACACTAGTGATAGCATAGATAAAGATATTATACCATGTAAAGAATCACTTCAACTCAAAACCTTAAAGTGTTGGGTGAGAGCCTTTTTAATGGTTTATATTATTCTCTAACACGCCCCCTCACATAAAATCCCTTTCGACTTGAAGTGTGGATATTGCACAAACCCAATTTCTTTTTTGGTTTATCTTGTGCTTATTTTAATTCACCTCGAAAGTGGGGGGCGGTAAGGATTGAACTCGTGAACTTGTGATCATTGAAGCTCTGATACCATATTAGAAGAAATCCATAGAAAGAAAGTTCAAGAAAGTGAGAGAAAATGAGAGAAAGGGTTGAGAGAAAAAGAGCTGAAGAGAAAACATTATATTATTGAATCTGAACAAAATGAATCATAATTATAGAGAGAGAAGTAGCTAACTCTATATGTAGAGTTGAGGCTGACTCAATGCTGAGTCGGCAAGCTAACCAACTACACAACTAAATGGCTAACAGCTGTAACAGCTTATACAGGAAATAATCAGCTGCAACTGATACAAGAAAATAATTCTACTACATTTAATACAATCAGCAAGCTATGCTATGCATATACACACTAATAACATGTAGCCCCGGCTGAAGCTTTCTTAGACTAACTGAAAATGAAACGAATTTTGGGGACTAGAAAAGATCATAAGCTGTTTTGGAGTTGTGCTCTTTTTGCTAGAATGTTGTGTATTTTGGCCGTAGTGTAATTCAGGATTTTTAGCCAAAATCTTCCTCCTCACCTCTTATAGGGTGGGCTTTTCTCTTAGCTTCCAGGTGTGTCCATGCACATGGTTTTTTTCAGGATCTTTTTATGCCTAATATGCTTAGGAATTCCTTTGTCCTTTGGAGCTGATGTATTTTCTTTTTCCTTGCTTTCTCCTACGGTATTATTTGTAGCAATGGGAGGATTCCTGTTCCTTTTTCTTTGGTAATGAATTTTTTATTAAAAATTAATGAAAATCAAAGAATTCAAAAAGGAAGCTTTAATTATAATTATGAAACAAATTTCTTAACTGAAGATGCCTGTAAGGTTGACAATTTTTAAAACGACCCGCTCACACGACACGAACACAATACGAGAAATTCGTGTTCGGGTTGACCCATTTTCAAATTTGTGTTGTGTTCGTGTTGGCAAAAACTGACACATTGTGTGGTGTTGTGTGTCAACTCACAAACACGAAATTAATTCACGTTAATCTTCTTATAGTTTATTCGTGTTATGTTGTGTCAACATGACATTGGTGAAAACAACATTTAGTAAACTGGTTATTCTTGTAATGTCAACTTGTATAATAAGTGACACACTTTGAGGTTGGCGGGCTATTCATGCTGTGTTGTGTCAACCTGCAAAATAAACGGGTGGTGTTTGTGTCAGAGGTTAACTCCATTTTCAAATTCGTGTCATATTCGTGTTGAGTGTATTCATGTTCGTGTTAAATTTGTATTATGTTGTTATGTCAATCCAAATTGTCATCCCTAGATGCCAACACTCTTTCACATGTTGGCTTGGTAACTTAAGGCGATGGTGATGTGCAAACAGTTCATGCACTACCATTGTTCTTCAAAACAGGGAGCACTGGCAAAATGTTATGCATGCAGTAATCTTTTTGTTCATGAACTCGATTTTTAGCCAACCTGAAATCTCATATATCAAGCTCCATAACTCTTATCTTGATATATATTGAGCCTGCACTCATGGCACTGATACTCCTCTCCCCCCACCCCAAATAATCATATACTTTAATAAACGGTGAACTGAATATTTTTTATATGATGTTTCCATGTTCAACTCATTACTTCTTTTTGTTTCTTGTGTTGGAAAACCAAACTAGTGGGCCGTTCTCTGTTTAGCGGATTAAGCAACACTTCACCTGGTTTATTTACCACTTCACATGAGATGACATGCAGCAATTTCTTTTCTCAGGTCAGGAACTGTGAATTAATTGCAAGATCATGTTTAAATTATTACTATTGTTATATATTTTCCTTAACACTAGTTTTATGTTTGTCAAACATGGTATTGGTAAACCTAGGTTGTATAAAACAACAATAATTTTTCCTTGTACTTCAAAGATATGCATGTTCTTAAATGAGTCATAACTCCATTCTTCCACTCTCTGGCATGACTCCTTTTTTCTTGTGAATATGGCATTATGCAGCAGCAACGCACCTTCATACAGATGAGGACTGTTCTGAAGGTTGTGGACAATTCTGGGGCTAAAAAGGTGATGTGCATACAGGCATTGAAAGGGAAGAAAGGGGCAAGATTAGGTGACACAATAATAGCCTCAGTGAAGGAGGCTCATCCTAATGGAAAAGTGAAGAAAGGAAAGGTTGTATATGGGGTAGTTGTACGTGCAGCAATGCCAAGGGGGCGTTGTGATGGCAGTGAGGTCAAGTTTGATGACAATGCTGTGGTGCTTGTTGACAAGCAAGGCCAGCCTATTGGAACCAGAGTTTTTGGGCCAGTGCCTCATGAGCTCAGGCGGAAGAAGCATGTCAAGATTCTTACCTTGGCAGGGCATATCGCATAAATGAAAAAAGGGTTATCTAATGAAATCCAATATCACAACTATCATTTTTATATTTTGATCTTTTGGTGTGAAGTGAAAGGTTAGTGCTCAATCTATCAATTTGTGAGGAGAAAAATAGGAGGTGTAGGTGACTTGACTTCTACTCAAATAACGACCATTTGGTTTGGTGTCTAGCCTAAAATTGAACTAGAGATATGGCATTCATGTATGCTTCATATTTAACGGAGCAAGTATTTGTGATTTTGATTTTTCTTTTCGGTTTCTGCTTTGTTCATTGGGCAATAGTTTGACATTAATTTAAGGCTTTCTAAAGTAGAACTTCAAAACATTGATTGTCTGACACTAATTTAAGGCTTTCTAAAGTAGAACTTCAAATATACCCCTGGGGATAAAAATGATTTTTTTTTTTAATATAATGACAAAGTGAATGAATTTAAACTTTGAACCTCCTTATAAGTCATTCGGAGTGGGTTAACTGCATAACACCATAAGTTTAAATCTCGTTGTTATTATTGTAACCTAAAAATAATAATTGAAAAGTCACTGTTATAAAGAAAATTATCATCAAGATTAGACTCGTGGTGAGAAAATAAAGATACAATTATTTCTGAAATATTACTATATTTCTGGTTACTTAAATAAAATGTTCTATATTAATAGCTTATACTCTTCCTTTCATATTATGGCACGATTTCATTACCCAATTCTACCAATGATACAAATTGTTTATTGGTCACAATTGATCTTTTCTTTTGAAAGAACAAGACAACAATCCAGAAAAACAAAAAAAGAAATAGCTTTTTACCAAAGAGAAAAGAAGATGAAAAACTACAACAAACTACACGGCTGAGGAGAAACCTCAAGAATCAGCAGTGATGACCAGCCCCCAAATAAACAAATAAATAAATAATTGTTGGTCGGTCAATTTAAAGTTTGGCAGCAATTGAATTTGCTTAAAAAAGAGAATGAAACTAAAAATGTATGTTAACATTTCTCTTCCATGAACAAATATCCATTGCTTGAAGTTTTAAGCCACCGTATTAATATTGGGTTTGATGTTTCTCATATTTATAAGAGATAAAATTATTTTCTATACACATAAAAGTATGTGTGGTTCATGTGTGAAGAGAAAAAAGAGAAAAAGAAAATATAGTCGCGCACACTTTTATGTGTGTGTAGGAAATAACTTTATCTCCTAACATTAAACTTATTAATATGTTACATCGGCTATTTAGATCTTATTTTGAGTGCACTTTCAATTATAATATTATATTGGAATTTACAAGTCCTCAGCGTGAATGAGTTCTGTTAAGATCTCATTTCGGCTGATTATATGGGCTAAATACACTTATAATGACTTGGTAACTCCTACTTGTAAAGCCAACTCTCGCGATTGAGATAACAGTAATCTATTCTTAATTTTAATACACTAAGCCTGTACTTAATTTGGGTAAATTAAAAATATGTTCATCACTTGTAACCAAATTTGGGGTGATACCATATTATTTTCATGGGTTTTATAATTCTCATTTAACATGAGAATTATAATTTTCCTACATACCTTTCGATTTCCGTGCTGACATGGGTTCTACATATAATTTTTCTAACACATGAGTTTCACATGCTTTTTATCTCTACAACATGAGAATTCAATTCTCCTTCAACATGAGAAATATAAAACCCTATTTTTATTTACCAACCAATGTTTTTTTTTTTATAGATATTTCAATCGGTTTATCGTTCTGTGATTTGTCCAATTCAGAGCGGATCCTGGGATTAAGGTTTTAAATTCATCCTAAAGATGGTATTGAGAAGGATCAAACATACATGTTCTCAACTAAGCTACCATCATTTGATATTTACGAACCAATGCTAATCCTGACAAAATAGACCGCGAGTAACACCAAGTACCTACAAAGTATAAAATCGTAATTCTGGCATATATTGTGCAGCAAGTTATATTAGCTTGCTTCAAATACTAAATATTTACTTACTCAGGCTCTAACAGAAGTTGCTGTGATTCGCAGCTTGATGATATATCAAATTGGGTCTATTATATAGACCAAGATTTACAATTGGTTACATCAGGAAATCAGCTAAACTTAAGGAACAGAAAGCATAAATCAAGCTAATCTATTTACATCAGGAAATCAGCTAAACTTAAGGAACAGAAAGCATAAATCAAGCTAATCTATTTACATCAGGAAATCAGCTAAAACTAAGGAACAGAAAGCATAAATCAAGCTAATCTATTTTAATATACAAGGTAACAAACCGTGATAGTTACAATCAGGATCCTAACAAATTAATGCTACTCTAATACTCCCCCTCAAGGTGGAGCATGGAGGGAGGAGATGCCCAACTTGGAAGTCAAAAAATCGAATTGTTTGGATCCAAGTGCTTTGGTCATAATATCTGCGGGTTGAGAACTAGTGGGGATATGTTGAGTAGAAATAGTCTTGCTGAGAAGATAGTCCCGAACAAAATGGCAATCTAACTCGATATGCTTGGTACGCTCATGGAACACTGGATTAGAAGCAATATGAATAGCAGACTGACTGTCACAAAACAGTTGCATAGGGGCTGCATGAGGAATATCAAGAGAGCTGAGAAAAGACTTTAACCAAATAAGCTCAGAAGTCGCAGCTGCCATGGCACGGTATTCAGCTTCAGCAGAGGAGCGGGATATTGTGTTTTGCTTCTTGGTTTTCCAAGAAATAGGAGAATGTCCAAGAGTAACAAAATAACCAGTGACTGATTTTCGAGTCAAGGGACAACTAGCCCAATCCGAATCACAATAGGCACGAAGAAGAAGATCACTGTCAGATCGAAGAAGGAGTCCTTGGCCAGGATTGGACTTAATGTACCGAAGAACACGAATAGCCGCATCGTAATGTATCTGCATAGGATGCTGCAAAAACTGAGAAAGTGTGTGAACTGCATAACTAAGTTCTGGTCGTGTAATCGTGAGATATACAAGACGGCCAACAATACGTCTATAACGTTTAGGATCATCAAACGGAGGTCCTTCAGCAAGAGCAAGCTTGTGATTGGGATCCATAGGATAAGCAACCGGTTTACAACTTTGAAGTCCACATTCCTTAAGAATATCCAAAGCAAATTTGCGTTGAGTAAGAAACAAACCGGTCTTGCTTCGAGCAAATTCAATGCCAAGAAAATACTTGAGGGGACCAAGATCTTTGATTTTAAACCAGGTTTGTAAATGAGCTTTGACACGGTCACAGAGAGAAGGATCACTACCTGCCAACAAAATATCATCTACATAGACAAGTATAGCAACATAATGGGAACCAGTCGAGTAAGTGAACAACGTATAATCAGCACGAGACTGAACAAAGCCGAAACTGAGGAGAGAACTACGAAGCTTAGCAAACCAATTTCGTGGGGATTGCTTGAGACCATAAAGTGAACGTTGAAGCTTACAGGCGTGACCAGACTTGGTTTGGGAGAAACCGGGAGGAAAACGCATAAAGACTTCTTCATCCAAATCGCCATGGAGAAAGGCATTTTGAACATCCAGCTGAAAAATGCTCCATTTTCGAGCTACAGCTACAGATAAAAATGTACGCACACTTGTCATTTTAGCCACCGGTGCAAAAGTCTCAGTGTAATCTTCTCCTTCGATCTGATTGTTCCCAGCAATAACCAGACGCGCTTTATAGCGTTCAATGGTTCCATCAGAATTGTACTTGATGCGGTACACCCACTTACATGGAATAGCTTTCTTACCAGAAGGGAGAGGTTGAATTTGCCAAGTATGATTGGCTTCCAATGCATCAATTTCGGCTTGCATGGCTTTCTGCCAATGAGGATATTGCATAGCCTCTTTAAATGATTTGGGTTCCAGGTTACTATCCACGGCGGCAAGAAAAATCTGATGGTGCGAAGAAAATAATGCATTAGAAACATAATGATCAATGGAATATTGAATACCTGAGTCGATTGGAGAAGTGGAGAGACGAGGAAAGGGTGTAGTCATTGTGTTGCATACATAATCCTTTAAATGAGATGGGGGACGTCTGGCACGCTGTTCACGAATATCTGCCACAGATGCAGTGTTGGGTTCTGTCAACGGAACCGGTGAACCAGGGACATCCGTGGATGAAGTAATAGAACCCGGAACTGGGGAGGACGAACTCCCCCTGTCATCAAGCTCCGCTGTGGGAGTATCAATAGCAGTAACAGGTGCCACATCATAATCGGTGAAGACAGCTTGTGGTGACGGTACATGGACAGAAGGTGCAGATGAAGTTGCAGCCAATGGAAAAATAGTTTCATGAAATAAAACATCACGAGAAACAAATATTTCATGAGTGGAGATATCCATGACCTTCCATCCTTTTTTGTTGAAAGGGTAGCCAACAAACACACACTTACGGGAGCGAGGAGCGAACTTGTCATGTGGTTTGGGTAAAACAGTAGTGTAACATAAACTCCCAAAGACCCGTAAGTGATCATACTTTGGTGGAGTGCCATGCAAAACTTCATAGGGACACTGACCACCAAGGAGTGGAGTCGGTGTCCTGTTGATGAGGTGAGCAGCGGTCAAGATGCATTCTCCCCAAAGAGATATAGGTAAGTGACCATCAAAACGCAAAGCACGAGCCACGTTGAGGATGTGACGATGACGACGTTCAACGCGTCCATTTTGCTGTGGGGTGTAAGTGCATGATAATTGATGATGAATACCGTAGGATGAGAGAGCCTCTTGGACTACAGATGACAAAAATTCAGTCTCATTATCACTCTGAATTCGCTTAACAGATGCATCATATTGGGTGCGAACCAAGTGGAGAAACCGAAGTAAACATGTGGAAGTTTCAGTTTTATTGCGCATCAAAAAAATCCAAACATGTCTACTAAAATCATCGACTACTGTTAAAAAATAGCGGGCACCAGTTGTAGATGCCATATGATATGGCCCCCATATATCACAGTGAAGTAAATCAAAAGGATGTAAACAACGTTTATTATTAATAGGAAAAGGACTTCGTGGTTGTTTGGCTTTACAACAAACGTCACAAGGAGCCAAATTGTTTGCATTGGAAATAAAAGGTAACAAAGATAAATAACGGGAAGATGGATGTCCTAGACGACGATGCCATAGTGCTGCAGAATCTGACGTACTGGCAACATGAGCAGAAGCTGATGATGCACACAATATATACACCCCTTTCTCGTTCAACACCCGTTCCAATCGTCCTCTTCTGCTTTAGGTCCTGTATCAAACAAACAGAATTAACAAACAATGCCAAGCAAGACTGGCGCAGAAGCTGAGATACAGAAATCAAATTACAAGCCAACGAAGGGACATAAAGAACATTGGAGAGATGAAGAGAAGAGCCCAAAGTAATGCTGCCACATTGCGTAGCAATATCATGAACTCCATTCGGCAGTCCCACAGAACAAGGAGAAATAGAATGCACATTGGATAGATAGGAGAGTGTGCCCGTCATGTGTTGGGATGCACCACTGTCGATGATCCAAGATGGGTGTAAAATCTTACCCGTAAGTTTATCAACTGGAGGGGCAGAAGAGACAGCCAAGGACATGAGATGTTGTAGAACTTCTGGTGTAAAATCTGCCATGGAGATGGATGCTGATGACGGCTCAGAAGGAACCGAAGGCAGAGAAGTATGAGCAGCCCAATTTTCATAATTGGATTGTCCACGGAGGATGACCGTGGTGAGAACAGCACCAGGATTGTCGGATGGGTGCAGGTAAAAGGGTGACTTAGAATCAGAAACCTTGAAGGTTTTAGGTGCGGAAGTCATGATGAAAAAAAAAAAAAAAAATGAAGGCTTGTTGATCGTCAAGCTCTTGATACCATAACAGAAGTTGCTGTGATTCGCAGCTTGATGATATATCAAATTGGGTCTATTATATAGACCAAGATTTACAATTGGTTACATCAGGAAATCAGCTAAACTTAAGGAACAGAAAGCATAAATCAAGCTAATCTATTTACATCAGGAAATCAGCTAAACTTAAGGAACAGAAAGCATAAATCAAGCTAATCTATTTACATCAGGAAATCAGCTAAAACTAAGGAACAGAAAGCATAAATCAAGCTAATCTATTTTAATATACAAGGTAACAAACCGTGATAGTTACAATCAGGATCCTAACAAATTAATGCTACTCTAATAGGCTATCACCCTTTTCACCCATATAGATCTCACTTGAAGTTACTTTTGACAAATTCAGAGTCAACCATAAATAAATAAATGCCAACGAGCAGTGATTCTATCATGCTTTATTATAGAGAATATGGTCAATAACTAGTTACACACAAATATCATATTGGATAGTTCCTTATGCATATTTTTTCGGCTAATTGACCAGATTCACCTTTTTTTTTTTTTAAATTTACATATATGTTACATTTCTCAAATTATATATCAATCTGTTTTTACTTTATCAAAATTGATCGAAGTTGACAAATGAGTCTCGTCCAAAAGTCAAAATTTATATGTGACATGATCTCAATGCTACTCAACATTTACTTAAGTAACTCGAGTGAATAAGACCAATGACCATATCAAATTTGCAACCACAAATTTTTTTGAATTAAAATGGTATAATTGAACTCAAGGTGGGCATTTGTAGGTTCATTACAATTGAGGGAAGTTTCCATCCAATTCAAGGTATCAAACCACCATTTTAGGTTGATTTTCAACATGATTTGTTGAAATTGGTTCATCGTTGATTCAACAATTCTTGTTATTTTATGTACGTACATGCATATAAATTTGAACTTGGGATACGGGTTTGGGGGTTCAAAACATTTGAGGATAGTCTCCATCCAATTTCAAGATCTTGAATCACCATTTTAGTGTCGCTTTCAATATGTTTGCAAGAATTGATTCACTATTAATTTAAGGATTTTATAAGAGTTATGTTGTAGGAAAAGTGATTGTGTAATGTTATAGAGATTCGTTTTGCATGACGTAGTTTTTTTTTGTTTCAAAAAGTGTGGGCCCCACGAAATGTTGTGTGTGTAGGAAACTGTTTTTTGTCATGTTAAATGATAAATGCAAACCCCTTAATTTAAACAACCCAGTTCTGTCATTTATAGGTGAAATTGGATTGGGGTGGCGGTTTGTGGGTCCAAAACACATGAGATCATAAAAAATAAGCAACATGAACCTCGAAATGCATAGAATTAAGGTTAATAAAAGATAATTACATAGACATATAAGCAATCCGTACAAAGCCCATAAAAAATATATATCATATGAAAACAACAATACTCACTAAAAACAATCCTATACTACTTCAAATGCATCTCATATCGTCGCTCTCCTCCTTGTATTCTCGTAATCAAATTTTCGAACAATAAAAGGTTGGGAGAAGAATTTCAGACTTAGAGGGGAGAGTTTCGACCAGGTATTGAACCCCCTTACTCTAGTGAATGAAGCTTTTAACACGTACCCCTATGCTCAATATTACTTGAATAAATAACGGTCAACTTTGATTAAAAATTGATATATATTTTGAGAGTAAATAATTTTTTTTTTTTTAAAAAGGGACAATTTATTAGTGTTAGCTTTGAATTATGTATATTTTAATGGTTTAGATTCTGATTTATTTGAGCTAAATGAAGTGTGATATGCAAGTATTTGGGCCAAAAAGAAAAACAATATGGCCCAATTTGGAAAAAGGTAAAAGAAAGGAAGTAAATGTAATTTTACTTATAAATTTCTTTACCCAATGCTTGCGGATGTTAAAAAAGAAGCAAATGACCAAAGTTAATAAAAGCAAGGGACAAATTTGGACCATTGGATGAACAAAAAGATGGACGGCTACTAACTTTTGGATTTTTTCAGTCATTAGTTATTGGGAAATGATAGTCTCATGCTAGTAAGATATCTATCTCATGTCATACACCCATAGAATTTTGTGCCAATTTTTTTCTTTTCTTTTTAATTTGTGGACCCCACATATTTGTATCACCCACATGAGATAATACTCTCATGTAACATGAGATTAATAAATCCCTTAGTCATTTTGTGGGTTGTAAAAAGAGAGAGACCTGATTGAGATTTTTTAGACTTTGTTATGCTTTTGAAAGATTTAAGTTCTGTGAGTTTTCTTGAATATCTTGTAAACTTGTGTGATTCCTCTCCAAGTTCTTGACATTGAAAAGTATTGACAACGCATCTTCAAGGGAGAAAGCAAAGATCTTTATGCAAGCTGATTTCTCTACCCTTTCCCAGCTCTGGTTCAGGAATTTCGTTTGCTCAACTATTCGTCTGTAATTTTTTTACTTTGAGTTCTATTTTTTTGGATATTTGGTAATACATGTTATTTTCAGTTCAGATTTTGCAATTTTCGTTTGTTAATATGAGTTTCTAAATTCTTTTTTCTGGGATTCAAGATGATTGGATGATTACCTTATTTTGTTGAACAATGTAATGTTTCCTTTAGTCTCATTTGAGTAGCAAGATTTTGATTTAAAGTTCAAGAAAACCATGGGAATGGATCTTTTAGAATATTTTTAGCATAACTGTGATTGGAATATCAGGTTATGTTCTTTTGCTAATTCAACCCTTGAGGTTAGGGATAACCCAAGGAGGTATTTGATATAATTCTTAAAGATTCAAAAGACTTTGGGAAAAGATCCTTTTGAAGAATAGATCTGGAACTGGGAAGTTTCAACTAAAATAGCCAATAAGTCAAATTCTGAGATTAAAGGGCCATAGCAGTGGTAAAACGCAGAGATGCGAATTTCTTTGGGAAAATCCATGATTCAAGAATTTCAGTACCTTATAATTGCTGCATTTGTTGAATAGATATCTATGTTATTTTTGTTAAATACAAATCTGATAAAAACTTTGATTCATTTAATTCGTAGTTTAAAAGATTGGTCACTTACAATTCAAGAAATAAGAATAGAAATTAAAAAGAAACTAAAACAACCGTTCACATAGAATGATCTTAATCTTCCAATTTTACTACCTAACAATTAGTCAATCAACTTCTTTTTCCCCTCATATAACTCTTATCAACATCTAGTTACTTTATTTTTTTAATCTCTATCTAGTCATTAATGTCCCACCTCACTTGTGGTTATGTAGTCTCCCTTTAATATGTCCTTATAGATAAGGTTCTTTTGAAGAAGAAAAAAATTAAGAGCGCAAATAAAAATATATTTACTCTTGATTTAAAATACATCATTGATCACTCTCACGTTACTCAATTTAGAGATTTTATTTTAGAGAAACTTTTCCCTTTCGTGACTTGTGGGAAGAGTTAGTGAGTAGAGGTAGGTAGGGGCAGGGGGTTTAAAGGCGAGCATGGGAGCAAGCATGCATATCAATTAATGCTAAAAGTTAGAGAAAGGGAGAATATAAGAAATATGGTACTCGAATATGTTGCGCACTAATTCAAAAGCACATGCAAATCCCAATCTTTTAAAATACGTATTCTCTCTTTCTCTTGAATATATATACATACCTAAACTTTATGGTTCTTTCTTCTTATTTGAGGAAAGAAGACTTTTGGGTCGTCCTCCAAACATTCTTTGCTTGCTTCTTTAACCCTGCTAATGCACTTCATCATAAATACCCTCGAAACTGCTTCCAATTATATATAGCTATACAGTACAGCTCAGATTTCACCATATATTCATTCCCGGACTTCAATCTACAAACCACAAAAGATCTGAATAATACAGCTTTTTCATCATGGGCGTCCTTGTAACAATGGCAAGATTTTTGGATACATTTATAGGGTAAATGAATCTCTCTATTTTCTCATATCTGCCAGTTATTTATATTATATATGCTCCACTTCACATATACATTATTTCCCGTACATTACTCCTATTAGTGGTGAAGGCAAGGATGTTAGGAGGGGTGATTGCCCTCTCAAGTTCATCAACCTATATCTTGGATTACATTTATGCTTAAAAGAAAGATAATATAACATAAGTTTATCCCTTTCCGTCCTTAATATTCCTCATGCATGAAGAAAAATTGGAGAGTTTTTTTTTTTTTTTTTTTTGGAAACAAAGAAAAGTTTAAGCGGGGTTAGACACCGGTATCCTACTAGGGTCAGGTAAGACCCCACAACCTCTTTGAGAATTTCTGGGAGAGATTACATATCACCCACCAACAAAGTCCTCACATCGGTCAGCGGAGTTTGAACCCACGCTCTTGAGAGATATGGACCAAACCCTTAGCCAACTGTGCCCACCTTTGTTGGCAAATTGGAGGGTTTTTTGAATCTGGCTATGTATCGACCCACTATTGTGTTGTCATGTTTAAGCTAGTACGAATTTTGAATTTTTCCTCCGCCATTAATTGTATAAAAAACCCCGATCATCATGCATTAACCGAATATTTATCATTTAATACTTTATGAATTTCCCATTAATAAAAAATATTTTCATAAAATTGTATATGATGTATTATTCTTAATTTTATTTCTTTTGTTCAGTATAACATTCTACTTTTTGTTTTCTGTATACCAGGCCAGGAGCGATGCTTCTTTACCCTTTGTAAGTAAATGGCGTATCCTATATCATTAATTTTTAATTTCCTCATTGATGTGATTAATTCTTAATTAAAACTACAAGGAAGTACACATGCACCCTGATAACAGATATGCAGATATAATTTAATTTTTTGATCTATGAACTATGATAGGATAAGACTAACTAAATGCCTGAGTTATGAGTAAATGTAACAGATACGCATCAATGAGGGCGATTGAGAGTCCTTCAACCTTAGATGATCAACAGTGGCTAACATATTGGGTTTTACACTCCTTCGTGACCCTCTTTGAGCTTTCATGTTATAAGATCCTAGAATGGTACGTATATATTATAACAAATTAAATAATACATATTTAATAAAAAAAAAAAAGTTAAACTATATACATATATATTTAATTTAGTGCATTTCTAATATCAGCTTAATATTATTTCTGTGTGGCTAAACAATATATATAATATATATGTATAGGTTTCCCATTTGGCCATACCTAAAGCTTGTGTTTTGCCTCTGGCTGGTATTGCCAATGTTCAATGGAGCTGCTTACATATATGAGAACCATGTGAGGCAATATGTCAAGAATATAGGAAGCTATGGAAGTTCCAATTATCCTGAAGAGCAAAAGAAAGTGCTTCAGATGATGAGCTTTGATGCAAGGAAAGCTGTTGAACGCTATATAGATAGTTATGGCCCTGATGCCTTTGAGAGAGTAATCAGAGCAGTATGATATAAACAATTACTCCAACTATAGATGTGTTTCATTAACATTTATCTTTTTGTGTTTTAACATTTTTTTTTTTAAATTTTATACTTAAATTTGCAGGCTGATAAAGAAGCAAGGAAGCACTGAAGATTGATTTGACAAAATTGATATCTTAAGAATTTTCTGTAATCATTGTTTCTGCATTTATGCTATGCAAACTGAGTTTCAGAATAATCGTTTACTTAAAATGACAGCCATCTTGAGCTTTTGATACTTTAAATTATCTATATATGTAGCTTCCATGGTATGAGAATTAAGAAGCTTCCATTCTGGTGATTGATAAACAGTTATTTCATAGTACATTACTAGATTAATTAATTTATGGGTTATATTTCTCTTATATTGCATAAGAAAAATAAATTTTCAACACACACCTACAAAAGAGGAGTAAGTCCCACTTCTATTTTTTATGTCTCATCTTATCTGTAGGTTTCACTTGTAATTTTGTTTCTATTACATGATATAACTATTTTCGTACAACATAAAAAAATTATTTTCCTTAATTTATCTGTGATTAATTTTTGAGAAAAGTATTTGTCATTTTAAATGACATAAAGTTATATCATTTTAAGAGAGATAGACACATAATAAAAATTTTTATTTAAAATTTAAATAAAAAAAAAACCAATCACTTTCTCTACCATGATTTCCATTCTTTGTATCTATTTCTCTTTTAAAATGACATAACTTATGTCATTTAAAATGACAAACATCATATTCTTAGTTTTTATCCTTTAACGTTTTTACTACAATTCTACCACAACAATTTATTCCATCGAAAATTAATTGAACTAGTCAATAAGCAAAGCAAAGGTGATTCCTATTAATGATTGTCTATCAAATAAGGAATAGCCAGATAGGTACTATGATCATCTTATATTTGTTCCCATGTCGGACATGTTAATTATCTGTGACAAAGACATTTTGAATAGATGGAATCCTTAATGATATATAAGAGAGTAAATCACAATGTTCAAATGGGGTTGATTCACTTGTCACTTTTTATACTCTTTAAACAAAAACAATTAAGTTGTATTCTATTAAAAATATAAAATACATTTTCATACAATTTTTTTCGAGGGCAAGTCTTGAAGCAGCAACAAAGATGCTAGGATGCTCTTTGTGAACAAAAGGTCACAAGTTCAAGTCTAGAAAACAATCATTTTACAAAATGCAAGAACAAGACTGTTTTTATCCTCAAAAGTTGGAAAGCCTTCTGTACCGAGATTTGCCTTTTTACCAAAAATTCAATTTGATCAATCAACTCATAAATCTAATATCCTAGGTGTCGACCTCTTATCCTGCTTATACAACTATGGCGATAATAATAGTAGAATGGCAATACTAACTCTAAGAAGTAGGCTCATTGATCATTTTAGTAATTTTATAAGGGATATTTGTTGGTTTAGGTTGACCACAAACATATTTTCAATTGAGAGTGGTCAATGTCAAGCCCCCTTGCATCATCAATTTTTTTTTTGAAAAAAAAAAGAGTGCCATAGGACTCTACACATTAGTTTAATTTTTTTGTTATTTAATACATATTATGACTGTTACGAGCTCGCTGTAGGTGCATCTTTACCAGAAGGGAAATTTTTTTAAGATATAGGGGAATAATAAAAAAAAGCGTAAAATAACAAGAGACGAGAGGAACATTGAAATAACTCTGTATATTGAATTGATTCAGGAGAGTACAATATATGAAGAAACACTAATGAACTTAGCTCATACATCTAAATCCTAATGAAAAAAGGAAATAGATCTTTACAAATAATAAAGATATTCTTTCTAACACTCCCCATCAAGCTGGAGCGTATAGATCATAAGCAACAAGCTTGAATAAAAAAGACTAAGAAACATAACATCAAAATAAACGAATGGGGGTTGTAACAACTCTACAACTCACCCTAAAGAAAAATAACAATTATAATAAACTAAAATAAAATATTATCTATATCTCGAATACTCCCCCTCAAGATGGAGGGACACTTCATCTTAGGAAGAAAGAAAACTAAAACGAAGATTCATGCAATATAAGTCGAAGAAATCGACAGCAAATCAACTGGAATGACCATCAGTTTGAAGAGCTGGTAAAGAGATGGTGCTGGAATGGACATCAGAAAAAGAAGAAAAAGACATCAGCCAAGGAAGGGTTGGGAAAAAGACAATGTTGCAATTGGAATACAACCCGACATAGCCAGAGTAACTGGAATAATCCGCGGATCAGGCAACAACGGAGATAAATGCCGCAACTGGAATACAAGCCGACGGAGCCAGTGTAACTCGAATAATCCGTGGACCAAGCAACAAAGGAGATAAATGCTCTCCCTGGATAGGAAACCAAAATAAAGCAAAACAATGGCAAAAATAAATCAAATACAAGCCAAATCAGACTTGAATAACACTACAAACATATGTGGAAATAAAATAAAATAGGCCAAATACAAGCCATAAAAGAAAATAAAAATAAAAACAATAAATCACCGAAGAAAAAGAAAACACGGCTGGAAGAAACTAAGAACAGCAGAGAGAGAAAGAGAGAAAGGGAATAGACAAGAAAGTCAATCCCTCACGGAGGGTGATATCTCTCTACTACCATATTAAAATTATAAAAAAGCGTAAGGAAAGACGACTAAGGATTTCTCTCGTTAGGCTCTAGATACCATGTAAAATAACAAGAGATAAGAGGAACATTGAAATAAATCTATATATTGAATTGATTCAGGAGAGTACAATATATAAAGAAACACTAATGAGCTTAGCCCATACCTAACCTAAATCCTAATGAAATAAGAAAATAGATCTTGACGAATAATAAAGATATTCTAAAGATATTATTTCCAACAAAAAGCTATATGTTAAAGTGAAGAAAAAAAAAATCATTTTTAAGTAAAAGGGAGTACCGAGTTTGGTACTCCAGATATATACAAGAAATTTCGCTCGCAACACTTCCAATATTGCGCCATATGGCATAATCTTATCCAACAAATTCTCACATCCCTTCCTATAAATACCATTAAGCCAACCATTCTCACTTGCACCTGTCATTTTCCTCATTCTTCCCAACTCATATCCAATTTTCCTCTTTCTCTCAAAATCATTAAAGCTTTTCCAAATTTGTTTCTATACATTGTTTTTTAAATGAGTTTAGTGTTAGCGACTATATATTAGGATGGTAGAATATATGGAGGTGTTGCAAGATTGATGTTTGAAGGTTCGACCAATGTAATACGGATATAATGTCGCATCACCTTAGATTGTTTGAAGAAAAAAATTACTGATGAGTTGAGGCTCTGTGAAAACTAGTCTGTTTCTTAATTCACCAACTACTTTCGAACATTTGAAAAATTTACTGCATTGGAATTTGCCAATAACGATGATGTTGAGTTGGCGTTTAATGCGTTTCAACAACACTCTGTGACGACAGTGCTTGAGTTTTATGCTGACATTGTCTACATGTAGCTCGTCAATCTTGTACTCCATTATGGGGTGTTAGTCAACACATACTTATATTGATTGGGATTACCTCGATCAAGAGAGGGATGATTTTGCTAGGGGAGGATGGTTCTTAGCAGTTAAAGGACGAATTATTTGTTAGTTAAGAATTTGATTATAAGGAAGTAGTGCAAATAACAATCAAGCCATATTGCATGAAAGTATATCAGATTGCTTTCATATAGGAAAATAAGAAGAATAAATTGCATATAAAATGCGTAAACCATGTGGATGGCTATCCATGGAGGGTGAGAGCATTGTTACCAATGTATCGAGATAAATGGATTATTACTAAATGGGGAGACAGACACAGTTGTGTCATCCATTATCTCTCGCAAGACCATAGATAAGTTGACTCAAACTTCATATGTTCATGCATACTAGGTATGTATGACAATTTGTTATTTAAACACTTTTAAGAAATTATTATTTAGAGTAAATACCCTTTTTGGTCCTCAGCAAATTTCACGATGCCTGTTTTAGTCCCTAGCAAATAAAAAGGCCCATCGTGGTCCCTAAGAAATTCAAAATAGACCAATTTAGTTGAAATCGTGGTCCCTCACAAATTCAAAAAAGACCTATATTAGTCCCTAAAAGGACTAAAATGAGTCCATTTTGAATTTCTTAGGGACCACAATGGGCCTTTTTATTTGCTAGGGATTAAAGCGGGTATCGTGAAATTCGCTGAGGACCGAAAATGGTATTTACTCTATTATTTACTATACTGGTTTGATAAATTAGGTGTTTTGTTTAAGTAAGTTGACATTTGTATCTCATAATTATGTAGGGCATGAAGCATGTGGATCTGTCAATCAGTATTGCGCTCATACATGAGAGGATTTCAGGAGAACAAGGATTCAAAGTGTCTTATCAGAAAGCTTGGAAAGCCAAGTAGAAAGCCATAGTGTAGTTGTTTGGTAATTTGGAGAAGTCATATGACTATTTAGAAAGATGATTAAAGTACATGGTTCTATTTGCTCAAGGTTCTGTATACGAGCTCGAGAAACTTCCTTATGTTGTGGATGGCAAGGTGGACGACATTTGTGAGATGTTCCGTTGCTTTTTTGGATCTTCAAGCAATATGGTGAAACCTTTAAGTCTTACCTTGCAAAGTTAATTAGGTGCTGCACTTCCTTCGATTGCTTGGGGTTTCGTGGAATGAATTGTTGCATCACCCGATCAGGCTGATAGAACTCAAATGATTTAAAAGCAAATCATTGTCATAATAGCCCTCTAGCAAAGACTAATATCCTAGATATGAGGTGGCAAGTCTACATCAATAAGCAAAAAATTGTAAAATGAATTATCACATATTTTAATGCATCTTTGTGTTATCCTATATCAAAATAAAAAAAATTAGGAGGGGTTTAATGCTTTAATCCTGGACCTGTCTCGAGTCAGACTAGTTGCGAAGTAATGAACCGATTGGAATATTTCCAAAAAAAATAAAATAAAAAACATTTAGCATTACCTAATTCTTGTGCATCGTGTCAAATCTCTCTCTATACCATGGTAGATCATGCAATGTTATTGTAAAGAACCAATTCAACACAAAAACTTAAGTTGTTGAGTGAAGACCATCAATGGTTTATATATTTTTCTAACATGAGAACCCACTGAGCATGAATGGTGGATAATGCACAGACCCACTTACTTGTGCTAATAAATTTCACAAAAGAAAGTGGGTGGCGGTGAGGATCGTGTTAGAAGACAAGCCTATCTTTAGTTTAGTCCCCACCATCTTAGTTGTTATTGGAATCTTGGAAAGTAAAAGCTCCGCTACAATTATTCATTGGAAGACAAATTGGAAAGTTAAAGCTCCACGACAATATGTGCACCTATTATTTAGCTAAGTGGAGAAATAATTTGGATTGTGTAGCTAGCAAAAAAGGAAAGAGCGTGGGCTGTTGAGCTTAATCATATACGCAGTGTGCTGTACTTTTTTGTATTTTGTTGAACGTGGATCAAGTTGAGTTGTAAAGCAAGGAGGGTACTAGCGTTATGTAATAATTAGAAAGCAAGGTGGGGACGGTTGGTAATGAAGCTAGCCTATAGATATAGATGTTTTAAGCTATTGTAAAGCGTGTAGTAATTGAGAAAAGAAAGAAATAGAGTGTCGAAGAACCAAATGTGAAAAGAAGAAAAATAGAGAGTTCTGTTTGAGATTTGTAAGAAATTTTTGTGAGAAATTTTAAATTGAGCATGTTGCTATATTTTATCCTATAGTGAAATTTTTATAAAAGAGTTTCTTCTCCATTCTTCATCATCTTTTTTAAATTTCCAACAAGTAGTATCAGAGCCACGATCGATCAAAGATGACAAAGATGTTTCAACCTCAAATTACAAAATTGACAAAGTCAAATTATGGAAACTAAAGCACTCGCATGAAGATGCTCTTAGGTTCACAAGATGTCTGGGAGCTTGTCGAAACCGGATAGTCGAAGCCTATAAATGCAGCTGCTGAAGCAGCTATGACAGTTACACAAAGAAGGACATTTAAAGAATCACGAAAGAAGGATAAGAAGGCTTCATTTTTAATTTTTCAAGGTGTTGATGAATCAACCTTTGAAAAAATATCTGATGCAAAGTCATCAAATGAAGCATGGGAGATCTTGCAGAAATCCTACCAAGGAGTTGACAAAGCCAAAAAAGTCCAATCACTTAGAGCCGAGTTTGAGAACTTGAAGATGCAAAGTGGAGAACCAGTCACAGATTATGTCTCACGAGTGCAAAAGGTGGCCAAGGAGATGAAAAGAAATGGAGAAGGTACTACACTCATTATCAAGAAGATTTGATTATATTGTCACTGCCATTGAAGAAGCCAAATACTGGTCAGTTATCTCTATTGAGGAGCTTGTGGGTTCTCTTCAAGCTCACGAGCAAAGAATGATGTTGAATGAAGGCTTTAGCAGTTTGGAGCAAGCTATGCAAACCAAGTTGTGTCTTGATGGAAAACAAGCCAGGAGAAGCTTTGTACCTATTAGAGGAAATTGTAGAGGATTTAGAGGAGGCTTCAATACCCGAGGAGGATTTAACATTCGAGGTGATCATGGTGGATATGACCAAACAAATAAAGATTTCAGACCGATACAACAATATATGGACGTGGTCAAGGAGCATATAATAGTGGTCGAGGACGTGGTTTCATGACCCAAGGAGGAGGTTGATTTCAACAAAGAGGTGACAAATCTCACTTGCAGTGTTATAATTGTAACAGATATGGTAATCTCAACTATGAATGTAGAGATGCTGCTAAAGTTGCAGAGAAAAGTAATTATACCAGAAATGACAAAAAAGCTGATGAACCGGCCATGTTGTTCACTTACAAAGGCAATGAAGATATTAGCAAGGATGTCTGGTACCTTGACATATGAGCAAACAATCATATGTGTGGCAAAAAGGAGTTATTCACGAAGCTAAATGAAGAAGTTCAAGGAGAAGTCACTTTTAGAGATCTATCAAAAGTTTAAGTCGAAGGCAAAGGAAAAATTATGATTTTCATAAAAAAATGAGGTAAGGCATATATCTCAGATGTCTATTATATTCCACCTTTGCAAAACAATCTTTTCAGTATTGGCCAGCTTCTAGAGAAAGGATATGATATACACTTGAAAAATAACTCTCTTATCATAAGAAATCAAAAGGGAGAGTTGATTGCGAAAGTTGATATGACAAGAAATTGCCTCTTCAAGCTGAATATCCAGTCGCAAGCAATAAGATGCATGAAGTCATTCATAAAAGATAGTTCATGGTTGTGGCACCTCATATTTGGTCATCTTGGATTTGCTAGCTTGAATCTGTTGTCAAAGGCAAAGATGGTAAGCAGATTACCACAAATAAATCATCCAGATCAATTGTATGAAAGCTGCATGAAAGGAAAGCAGCACATACAAAGTTTTGAAGTTGGAAAATCATGGAGAGCTAGAAGACCATTGCACCTAGTTCACTCAGATATTGGTGGTCCATTTGACATTCCATAACTTGGAGGAAACATGTATTATATAACTTTTATTGGTGATTTTAGCAGAAAAGCCTGGGTGTATAATCAAAGAAAAATCACAATCTCTTGATAAATTCAAAGAATTTAAAGAAATGGCGGAAAAGCAAAGTGGTCAATATCTGAAGACGCTTAGAATAGATATAGGAGGTCATATTACTTCAAAATTGTTTGATGAATTTTGCAGACAACATGGAATAATTCATCAATTGACAGCTGCCTACACTCCACAACAAAATGGCATTGTAGAAAGAAAGATCGTACAATTCTTTATATGGCGAGTAGCATGCTAAAGGAAAAGCAATCACCAAGAACATTTTGGGCTTAAGATGTTCAATGTGCTGCCTATTTACTAAACCGGTGCCCAACAAAAAGCGGACAGTTCAAGACTCCAAATGAAGCATGAAGTGGCAAGAAACCACAAGTAAGCCATCTAAGAATTTTTGGTTGCATAGCATATTCCCATATTTCAGATCAAAGGAGAAAGAAGCTAGATGATAATGGGGAGAAATGCATTTTCACTGGCTACGACCTTAGAATAAAGCATACAGACTCTACAATCCTCTAACCAAAAAGGTGATCATTTCACGAGATGTAGAGTTTGATGAAGCATATTACTGGAGATGGAGTGATGAACAAAAGAAGGTGGAAGACCTATTTTTTAAAGATGATGATGACTCAAAGGAGAAAATAGATGATGAAGGAAATGATCAAACTCCTCCACCAAGTCCTATTCCAATAACTCCAACAACTACACCATCAACATCAAGAAACAGTAGCAACAACAACAATTCAAGGGGAGCACCAGCAAAGATGAGCAGCTTAAGTGATATCTATGATGCTACAGATCTGGTACAAACTACACATGATTATTCATTATTTTGTTTAATGGCTGAATTTGATCTAGTGACATATGAAGAAGCGGTAGAAGATAAAAAGTGAAAGAAAGCCATGAATGATGAAATTGCTGCAATCAAAAGAAATGACACATGGGAGCTCACAACCATGCCTAAAGGTCATAAGCCAATTGGTGTAAAATATGTGTACAAGACAAATATCAATCAAGAAGGGAAGGTGGAGAAGTACAAGGCAATATTGGTGGCTAAAGGTTACAAATAGAAATATGGAGTTGATTATGAAGAGGTGTTGGCACCAGTTGCAAAGATTGACACTATCAGACTTCTTACAGTAGTTGCAGCACAAAAGCAAATAGAAGATATATCAGATAGATATAAAGTCAGCTTTCCTCAATGGTTACTTGGAAGAAAAAGTCTACATTGAGAAACCATCAGGATATGTTATAAAGGGAGAAGAAGATAAAGTTTATCAGTTGAAGAAGACACTATATGGATTGAAGCAAGTTCCGAGAGCCTGGAACACAAGAATAAATGAGTACTTTCAGAAAAGTGGTTTTGTGAAGAGCCCATATGAGCATGCTTTGTACACACAGAAAAATGAAGATGGAGATATAATGATTGTGTGTGTGGATGATATGATCTTTACCGGAAACAATCCACGTATGTTTTATGATTTCAGTAAAGCAATGACTAAAGAGTTTGAAATGACAGATATTGGAGAAATATCTTACTTTCTTGGAGTAGAGGTGAAGCAAATGGAAGAAGGAATTTTTATGTCACAAAAGAAATATGCAAAAGAAATTTTGAGTAAGTTCAGAATGAAAGATTGCAAGTCGGCCTCCACACCAATAGAAGCAGGAATGAAGTTGAAAGCTGATTCAGATAAGGAGCCAATAAATCCTACACTTTTCAAGCGCCTGGTCGGAAGCTTAAGGTATTTAAATTTTACTCTACCAGATAATATGTTTGTAGTTGGCTTAGTTAGCAGATATATGGAGCAACCAAGACAAGATCATTCAGTGCAACTAAGAGAATTTCGAGATACATCAAAGGAACTATTCATCATAGATTGCTGTTTACACACCCTGAAGATTCAAAGTTAGTTGGCTATTTAGATAGTGATATGGTGGAGACACAGATGATCGGAAAAGAAAATCAGGATACACATTTCACTTTGGCTCAACAATATTTTCATGGTCATCCAAGAAACAACAAACTATTGCTCTTTCATCATGTGAAGCAGAATATATAGTCGCAGCAGCATGCACATGTCAAACAATATAGTTGAAGAATATTTTGAATGAGTTGCATCAAGAGCAAGAAGATCCAATCGCTATACATGTAGACAACAAGTCAACAATATCACCTACAAAGAATCCAGGCTCTCACAGCCGCAGCAAGCATATTGAAACAAAGTATCACTTTCTTCGGAAGCAAGTTAAAAACAAAGTTGTGGAATTAATCTATTGCAGAACTGAAGAGAAACTTGCAGATATGTTTACAAAGCCATTAAAGAACGGATGTGTTCCACAAACTCAAAGATATGATTGGTATGTAGTCGAGTTTGGAGGGGAGTGTTAGAAGACAAAACTAACTTTGGTTTAGCCCCCATCGACTTAGCTGTTACTGGAATCTTGGAAAGTAGAAGCTTCACTACAATTATTCATTGGAAGACAGATTGGAAAGTTAAAGCTCCACGATAATATATGCACCTATTATTTAGCTAAGTGGAGAAATAATTTGGATTGTGTAGTTAGCAAAAAAGGAAAAAATGTGGGCTATTGAGCTTAACCATATATGTTGTGTGCTGTACTTTTTTGTATTTTGTTGAACATGGATCAAGTTGAGTTGTAAAGCAAGGAGGGTACTAGCGTTATGTAATAATTAGAAAGCACGGTGGGGATGGTTGGTAACGAAGCTAGACTATATATATAGATGTGTTAAGCTATTGTAAAGCGTGTAGTAATTGAGAAAAGAAAGAAATAGAGTGCTGAAGCACCAAGTGTGAGAAGAATAAAAATAGTGTTCTATTTGAGATTTGTAAGAAAGTTTTATGAGAAATTTTAAATTGAGTGTGTTGCTGTATTTTATCCTTTAGTGAAATTTTAATAAAAGAGTTTCTTCTCCATTTTTCATAATCTCTATTAAATTTCCAACAGATTGAACCCGGGACACGAGGCTTTGATACCATGTAAAGAACCAATTCAACTCAAAAGCTTAAGCTTGTGAGTATGAACCTCTTTAATGGTTTATATTATATCTCTAACAATAGTCATGTGCTCGCGCCACCTGCCAAGTATGATTTTAGGTCAAGGGATGTTAATATATAAATGGAAGAAGACATTAAGTCAAAATAACACACCTTAAACCCATGGGTTTAATATCATCAAACTTTGGAAAATCTAGGATTTCGTGGGTGCAAAGGTGATGAATTTGGACCAAGCCCACATCTGCAGGACTACGAATGACTGGATATTCCAGCTCGGACTGGTGTGGTAGCAACACATAACTTGAGATAAAAAATGCAAGTACCACAGATCCGCAACTACATTCTCCACATTCATCCAAATTAACTAAATGGGATAGGTACCGAATATGTACCTGGCTTCTTGAATGACTTGGAAGTAAGACGTCATCGATAAGAATCATTATATATATGCGTGTAAAACATATAAGTTATTGTTCATCATGAACAAACTCCTCCACATTCCAAAATGTGGATTCAGCTAGGAATTCTTTAGACAAGCACCCTTCATGTCAAATCTAGAAGGGGTTAGGTCCAAAAGCTAATGTAACATATTGCACAAATCTTGCGTCTCGAACCCTTCAATTACTAGTTTACCCTCTGTAAGCAAACCAGTAAGTAAATATCTTCTTTAGCAAGATACTGACCTTTCCCTCGGGTATACAAAATGTGAGTCTCTTGTCTCCACCGCTACACCAAAGTTGTAATTAGACAACTGTTAATTTGAAAAAAAATATCAACAATATATTAATGTTTAAAAAATTAAACAAATTTTCAATCAAATTAAATTAATATGATACCTCTATACCACCCATCTTGGCCAATACACGAAAATTGGAACGATAAATATATGGGGCAATAGTGTCTAGGTCATTGTCGTATGCTAATCTCATACTTTTGATGGTCAGCCTCGTATAACCTGGCGTCCCATTCAAAACAGCCTCTAAACGATGTTTAAATTACATGTACAACACACAGTTGCGAAGCCTGCCCATTCATTAAGTTAGGGCCAACAAAAACTTAGGGGGAGCCTAACACTAAATTTTATCCAGAAATTTAGCCACGTTAAAATGTGGCTAATTTTTAAATTTTAGCCTGGGCTAAGGCACCACCTTGTCCCTAAGTGACTCCGTCACTAACAACACATTATCAGCCGTAGAACCAGGATGAAGATGCCTTTCCAGGGGATTATGATATGTCATATCTAATACAAATATTTACACAATAACAAACAAAATTAACATTAATTTAACAATTAATTCTCTTTTATAACAATTACATCACTAATAAAAAATATAATAATTTATGCTAACCTAAATTTTATATAATTAAATATATAGTCACTAAGTATGATTCAAAAATTATTGGAAATAATGATTAATAATTATTAATAGCTAACAATTAATAATTGATTATTCACTAATTTGTACTAATAACTAAAAATTATCATTACTAACAAATTAGATTAATTTAATAATTAAAATTTATTTCATAACTTATAAAACACTAATAAAAAGGTACACAATATAATAACAACCTAAATATCCTATAATTAAATTTAAAGTCAATAATAATGATTTAAAAATTACTACAATTATTAATTAATATCTAATTATTACTAACAACTAATGAATAAAATTCAATAACGACTAAATATTGTTCACCTATCATTCATTATTCATTAATTTTTTAATCACTAAAAAATTAACGGTAAAAAAATTAAAATATACAAATAATAATTAAGTTTCAATTTATAACTTATAAAATAATAGGAAAAAATTACAAAACAATGATAAAATATTATTTCATCACTAATTTCCAATCCTTAATAAGTATATTATCAATCAAAATAATTAAATAGATAGAATATTAACCTTGAAA